GCTCCCTACCTTTGCTGCCATGCTCCCTACCTTTGCTGCCATGCTCCCTACCTTTGCTGCCATGCTCCCTACCTTTGCTGCCATGCTCCCTACCTTTGCTGCCATGCTCCCTACCTTTGCTGCCATGCTCCCTCGGCCATTGGAGGTTATTTTAAATCAGCTGCTTTGGAAACAGTTGATGTTCCATAAAACATCTATCTCAGGCTGCATAGTTTCTCTAATGACATTTTCAGTGAGATTGATCCAATGCTTCGTCAAAGTGGATGGTTGTCGCCACAAAAAAAAAAAAATGAGAATTTCTTTGTTACATTCGTTGTCAAATAATGAGGGGAAAAACTCATTTAAAAAAAAATTATTTGCGTTTGATCGTTGTGACTGTTTTGTTCTGGCTTCCATTTGTATTGTCTTCAAATTGTCCTGTCTTCCAATTGTCCTGTCTTCCCATTGTCATGTCTTCCAATTGTCATGTCTTCCAATTGTTATGTCTTCCAACTCTCCTGTCTTTAAGTTTTCTTCTGTTCTCTTCGCTTCTGGTTGTCCAGTACTTTAGATGTCCTACCGTATACCATTTTCATGTCCTCAAGATGTCCTACCATATACCATTTTCATGTCCTCAGGATGTCCTACCGTATACCATTTTCATGTCCTCAAGATGTCCTACCGTATACCATTTTCATGTCCTCAAGATGTCATATCGTATAGTTGCCATATCCTCGGGTTCGATCCTCTAGTTGTCCTCTTTCAATCCTCCTACAACCTACTTACGCATGGTTCCATCTTTCACTTTGTCATCAGTCATGTGTTCACGTTGTCATCAGTCATGTGTTCACGTCGTCTCCGTGTTTCCAGGCGTGCGACCAGACGTTGTGACAGTGAGCGCCACTATCCCTGGAGGTCACGTCCGACTCTGCCACGATCAAACCGAAACATTGCACGGCTTCCTGTTCAACTGCAGCTCGTATCCAATCACCAATCTTCTACACGTCGCCATGGTTACCACTGCAAGCAGTTCACTGTGCGAGGTCAAAGCATTTGGTCGGAAATATGACGGCGGTAATAGTTCTTGTGAAATGTTTTTTGACCAAATAACTATTGACTTCGTAGGAACTATGTGGACATACATGTATATTTATAGATTCAATGTGAATAAATAACTAATATAGAAAAGTGGCGGAGGAGGTGGGTGCGCTCCAAATGTCACGCATGGCTCTGACTGATTGTCAAGGGTGTGAGAATCACTGTTGTTGGTATGAACGCTGTTTGCGTCCGTGGGTTGTGTCATGAGCTGTTTGCGTCCGTGGGTTGTGTCATGAGCTGTTTGCGTCCGTGGGTTGTGTCATGAGCTGTTTGCGTCCGTGGGTTGTGTCATGAGCTGTTTGCGTCCGTGGGTTGTGCCATGAGCTGTTTGTGTCCGTGGGTTGTGTCACGAGCTGTTTGCGTCCGTGGGTTGTGTCATGAGCTGTTTGTTGCGTCTGAATGAATGGTCATGGAGGGACAGCAATAGAATGATGTGTCAGAAATTACACGGAGAGATCAAACTATCGTAACAGCGTATTTTAACAATGATATTGATGTCATGTACTTGCTTTCATTATTTGTCCTCATCGTACAGTGCTGTACAGCAGTGGCGTAGCTAGAGATGATGTCAACCGGTGCGTTTGCACCTCCCCCCCCCACCCCAGCTACGCCACTACTGTACAGTTTTCATGGGAAATATGAAGGCATAGTTTTAAATAGTAGCGACAGTTCATACGACATTTTGTTGTTAAACTTTCATGTGCAGAATTAAATCCATAGATGTTGCTCTTTTCGACATTGAGTTGACTATTTTTAACGGCTGTTCCCAGCTGACCAACCCAAGCGAAATGGGGGGGGGGGGTGATCCTAGCTTGATGACCAAACAGAGTGAATAATGTAACATTTAGAACTAACTGTTGACCAATCGTAGGTGAACGAGTAGCTCTTAGTCTTATTTCTATCAAAATTGATTGTTTAAATTAATTCCCATGGATGGTTCACTCTTCTGTTCCATCCCAAGAACTTCATATACTTGTTGCTGTGCAGCTCTTAGGCATAGGCAAACTAGGCGACCGCCAAGGGTCAAGGCGACCCCACCGGACGCTTTTTTTTTTATTAGCCTACATCTTGCAAGTTCATATATTTCATTACACATCTTCTCTAGTGGCGCAATTACCAATATGGTTAGTGGTTACACGCGAGCAAAGAGGAAACAGTGACGAAGACAGAATGGGGTTGCCGCAGTGGTGGGTGGTGTTTTCTCCTCAGCTCCAGAGGAGCTCCTCCCCCTTCTGGGGCCCCTTACCTATGTTCCTTGCTTAGCCGCCCCCCCCCCCCCCCCCCCCCGCTGAAATCCTATGAACGGCTCTGTGGTGTGACAACACAAAGACCAGAATTTTACAATCTCCAGTGCTGGAGTGCAAACAGACGGAATGGGGCATGGACTACAAAGGGCATTTGAACATGCCCATTAAAGGGCGCACGTGCTACCCTTGGGCTTCTCTCAACCAATCATGGTTTGCTGATTACGAGTTCCCGGATGGCAGCATCGCAGATGCGCAGAATTACTGCAGGTGAGTATCTTCTTGTTCGTCATTGCATCGTCACACGCGACTATGTCTTTGGTTGTCTCAGCATTGACACACATGATTATGTCTTTGGTTGTCATTGTACACATAATTATGTCTTTGGTTGTCTCAGCATTGAAACACATGATTATATCTTTGGTTTTCATTGTCACACATGATTATATATGTTGGTTATCATTTCACGAATGATTATATCTTTGGTTCTCATTGTGACACATGATTATGTCTGTCATTGTCATAATTGATTATGTCTTTGGTTGTCATTGCTACACATGATTATGTCTTTGGTTGTCATTAGACAAATTCGCCCCAAAAGGTGTTTGCGAAATAGATATGTTTTCAAATCGGTTTTGAAAGACTCCAGTGTCTGGTTGTTTCTGAGAGTGACAGGAAGTGTGTTCCAAATTGTTGGGCCAGCAAATGCGAACGTGCGCTTTCCGTAAGTCTCAAGGCGAACACGTGGTATCGAGAGTTTGCCCCTATCGGATGAGCGGAGTTGTCTAGTGGGTACATAAGGCGTCATGAGTGCTTTGAGATAGGACGGCACCAGGTCATGCAAGCAGCGGTAGTACAGAGTTGAAATTTTGCGTCCACGGACCGGCAGCCAATGCAACGCTCTCAAAAGTGTTTTTAGCATGGTCAAATTTGCGTTTGCGAAAAATTAAATCACATGATCAGTAATGGACAGAATTCACCCATTACAACTAGATAACTAAATGTGCTCTACAAAATAATGCTTTAAAAATGCTCATGGCTACTTGCGGAACGGTCAGAAAGACCCGTGAAATAATTAAGAGATATCTTTGGTCTTTGTGGGTAGGCTTGCTCAATTCTTATATATGCCCTGCGCGAAAGAAAGGTGACCACTGCGTCATAATGTGTGTGCCGCCGTTAAACCAGCTGAGGGAAGTGGAGGGTACGCGTGCACGTGTAATAGCCTGGGTTTACCCGTGCCCAGTGGCGTAGCTAGGGTTGGTGTCACCCGGTGCGGTAAACTCATGGTGTCACACCCCCCCCCCCCCCAAACTTCTATGATCGATTTTTTCTTGTTAAAATAAGTCCACAGTATAGCATCAACCTTGAACTTTTAATAAAGCACGCATTTGGATTGGTTACATTTGTGAAAAATAGATGTGTGATCGGTTATTCTTTTATGAATCTCGATTTTTGCGAGCAATGTGTGCCCTGTAAATATGCAATTTTTCAATCGGGTGTCGCCCCTAAAATGGTGTCAACCGGTGCGGTCCGCACCCCCCGCACCTGCCTCGCTACGCCACTACCCGTGCCACCACAGTGACACGCGGGGACTGACAGTGACACGCGGGGACTGAGTGACACATTACTGGTAGGTGACACCCTGCCGCAATGAGAGGAG